AACTTTTGCACCTATCCCTATCTGAACAACCATGAACATCTTGCTGTAACTAGCATAGCTATTAAAAAATATTATTCAGTGCAGAATGGGTAAAAAAACCTGCATCTACAGGCATCCCAGCACAGATGTCACATCCATCAAACGTGATTCTCACTTTACAGGTGAACACAAACAAGAATAAAGTCTCCATTTGGTGACGATTCAAGGGAGACTAAGCGATTCTGATTTTTTACAGTGATTCCTGGGGGGCCTGGACACCATTACACCATGTGACAAAATGATGGGGGCAGCTGAGTGGTTCAGAGCGCAGGGGTACCTTAAGTCCAGGGATCACTGATGATTGAATTAGCAAGGAGATCAGACTTTTGTCATCAGGATTCCGCAGGAGCTGGTGCAGAACTGGCCCAACACCACCATTTGAACTCAACAAAATAATCCATGGCTCCTAATGCCAAAGTGGCCAGCCAAATGCCTGTGAAGGCAATGGATTAGGATAAAATATTCTTTGATTAAAAACACATAAAATGCAAGGTCAGTCTCTGCAGTCTGGGGAGTTACCATAGCAACATGTTAAATATTCAGCAGGGAGGGTGAAGATTACAGCCTCGCTGCACTCGAGCACACACAACTCATCAATACCAAAGATATGTTTAAATAGTTCCGCCAGGCTGGAGGTTTTGTGTGATACAGCAATATTTGTGCTCTTTTTCACATCCATTTTGCTCTTTATCATGAAAGCTGTGGTTGTCTGGTCATTCAAGGGCAGTCTTTTCTGCAGATAATGGGCCTCTTTTTACAAAAGAAGAAGTAGAGTCACAAAGGTAGTCACCTGCTTTGCAGCAGACTGAAACTAGCCACTACAGCAAAAGACTGCTTACTTGTTTGTATATATTTTAAGAACAGTGGCCTAACAAATCTTCCCACCCCTTAGAATTTTCCAGGGAAATGAATTATTTGTCACAACATATACACAGGTGAAAAAAACCCACAATAATCTACAGAATTTTAAAACTTTTAATAACTTAAAAGTAAAAACTCAAGAGCTGGAAAATCAAATAATCTACTGTCAGTATTAAAGACATATATACAAACACAATTTTAAAATATATCAGAAACTATCAAAATATGAATTAAAAATTTGGTTCTATTGCAGCTGGTCTGTACTTTTCTAGGAACAACTGTCTTAATTAGCACTTCTTACCCAGTGCCAGTCCATCTGAAGAGAAATATTATATATGCAATCAGGCAGCTCTGCACGTGACTTGTATTTGTTCTAAACTGCTGATCATTAGGACTGGCATCCTGTCTAGGGTGTGTTCTGCCTTGTGCCCATTACTTGTCGGGACATACTCCGGCTTCCTTGCAACCCAGAATTAGATGAAACAGGTTAAGAAAATGGATGGATGTTTATCACCAGTGATTATAAAACGGCTACCAGGCATGCTTACCTCTAGCCACATTTCCAAGATGATAATATGTTTTTAAAAAACATGATCCCTACTTGCAGGGATTGGCTTGGCTCCGACTCCCCTGCAAGCCAGTATAAAGGGTTGGTTGGATAGTTGGATGGATGTCTGGATACCACAATTACCTGGTGCAAAGGAAGTGAGTCAGAATACAATGGTCTGACAAGCAATCTGCACAGCACTTATATACTTTGCCCCTGTGCTCCCTCTAGTTCAACTCAAAGATGTCTGTTCACAACATTTTTAGCACAGTGATCTTGTGAACCACCAATATCATCACTGCCTCACAGAAAAGATGCCTCAGCAAAGATGAGACTGAACTGGAAAGGGTGAAATAATGTTTTATTATGTACCATGAAAACCCTCCCTTCTCTAACAATGTCACGTGTAAAAAGCAGAAGCTATGGTTTTAAGACTGGCCGGAGGTGTATCTAGAACAATAGCAGTGAAATTATGTTTCCATAATTCAGCTGGAAATTTTACCTGTTGCTCTCATTTTCACACACTGAGATCACAGTCTGGTTGCATGTTACTCCTGAAATTTTAAGCAAGTTGCATAGCTTGTAAACATCATTTGTAATTCAACAAAATGGTACATCATTGGTTGAGGGGGGTGAATACTTTGGCAAGACACGTGTATTCAATCTAACTCTCATAAACTACTTTCATTAATAAAGTTATTCATGCCAGTGCACTAAGCTGTTTTGCAATTCACCATATTTATTTCCAGATCACCAATCACTGAATAGGCATCAACTTTATTATTATATTTTAAAAACTGGGAAAAAAATTAACTGTGCATTTCAAATGATAGCAGCACTACCACCTTCTAGCCAGATCTGAAAAGCTAATCAAGGCTGCTGTAAGTGGGGTTGGTGGACCAGTAGGTGGTGATCTACTCACTGGATCAAAATTTCCAAATCAATGGTCTACTGTGGTGACCAGGGACACCGCTGTAGGAGATGCTGTCTTTTGATTGTGATGTTAAACTACTTGGTATTTAAAATTCTAATGGCACAGTTCAGTAATGTAATCCTGTGTCTTGGCTAAAACCCAGGCTCCCTTAAATTGCCCTTTAATTCAACTGGTGCAGCAGTTTCTAACTCCTCCCCCTGATCTGCTCATGCAGACTGACTGCTGTGTGTCATCCAGGTGGGGCTACACTTTAGCATTGGATGATATGGATCTGTCCTATCTTTTGGGATGAAAAGTGATACATGAATGCAATAATTAATAATAAATTAGTACATCCAATGTCAAAATGTCATTTTAAAGTGCGTTTTAGAAAGAGGCGGCTGGGTGGAGCCCCACTGGTTTTAATCAAGGATAAAACTAGCTTATTAAAATAAACCTTTACTACTGGTTTGTCTGTGCAGGAAGCAAGCAGGAAGAAAGCCAATGAGACAAATCAGTCTGCTGAAAGGACATGCATCTGTTGAAAAACAGATAGATATCAAGAAAAAGATTACAGTACAAATCTCACCTCTTCGAGCGTGGGCAAAACTACACAACCAAGAAAGATGCAAAACATATTAATACAACTGAGCTTTTGAGGGAGATATGGAGCGGCTATCAAAAGTCTTCACCCCCTTGGTCTTTTTAGATTGTATTTACAATATAATGTAAATGTGTTACAATATGGAATCATACTGTATTTAACTGTTTTTTTTGCTATTGACAGAAAACACCCTTTAATGTCAAAGTGAAAACAACATTTTATAGTTCTTCCTTAATTAATTATAAAAATAAACAGAAAATAACTGATTGCATAGGTATTCACCGCCCTTTAGAGAATATTTGCTAGAGGCACATTTGGTAGAAATTACAGCCATAAATCTTCATTTGGACACTGCTATTACTGCCCATTCTTGTTTACAAAATTGCTCAAATTCTCCCAGGTTTGATAGGAACAGTTGATGAACAGCAATTTTCATCTCCTGCCACAGATGCTTCATTGGATTAAGATCCAGGATTTGACTGGGTCACTTCATAATGTTGACTTTTTTCTTTTTTAACCACTCCAGTTTGGATTTGACTGGCTGCATGTTTTGGGTCATTGGCCTTCTGGAAGATGAATCTTCTCCCAAGTCCCATGTCTCTTGCAGACTGCAGATGTGCTTCCAGGATTTCTCTGTACTTTGTTACATCCATTTTTCCTTCTATCTTCACAAGTCTTCCAGGCCCTAATACAGCAAAGCTTCTGAATAGCATGATGCTGCCACCACCAAGCTTCACAGTAGGGATGGTGTTCTCAGGATGATGTTCACTGTTATGCTTACGCCAAACATAGCGCTTACTTGGTCTCAGACTCTCCCATATGCCTTCTGGCAAATTGCAGTCAAGTTCTGATGTGATATTTTATGTCACTTTGCCACAAAGCCCAACTTTGTAAAGCACCCAAAGAACTGTCATATGCACAGTTTCTCCCAGCCATGGGGGACTCTAATTCCTTTTGAGCTGTCACGGGCCATTTGGTGGCCTTCCTGACTAGACACTTCTCCCCTGGAAACTCAGTTTTGATGACACCCCATTATTACGTTTCACAGTTATGCCATATTTTCTACATTTCTTTATAACGTACTGTGTACTGTGTTTCTTTATAATTTACTGTGCTTTGGGGAATATATAATGCCTTGGAAAAGTTCTCATGCCTCTAACCCTGATTAGTGCTTCTCAATAACCCTTTTTTCTTTGAAAGTTTCTTTGTCTTCACAGTTTAGTGATTTAGCTTTTGTTGGGAGCTTTACTAGTCAATGGTGGGACCTCCCAGAGATATATTTTATCCTGAACTCAGATGAATACTCTAATTGCACACAGGTGGATTCCATTCAAAAAATATTTGACTGACTTCTAAAGACAGGTTGCACCATAGCTATAACCATAGGTGTGTTGTAGTAAAGGGAATGAATACATATGCAATCACTTATTTTCTGTTTTTAATTTATAATAAATTTAGGGGGATCTGTAGAATTTTGTTTTCACTTTGTTTTGTACTATCAATGGCAAAAAATCCCATATAAATACATTGTGATTCTATATTGTATCAGTAAAATGTGAAAAACTCTAACTATACATTTGAATACTTGTGAAAGTGTGAATACTTTTGATAGCCACTATATCAGTGTCAACATTAGGTAATGAATGGAACTCATGATTCACTTAATTGAGCAGAGATTAGCAAAGATTTGTGCCTGAACTCAGGCATGTGAAGACAGACAAACCTACTGTCCTACTTTCACTTTAAGTTATATATGAGCCTCCTTGCTCTTTAGCAACACCTTTTACTAGGAGAAACACAGAATACAGAATGCATCTGTTACACAATTCAACAACACAAATATTACTATTATATCTTGTGCTAAACATTTAGAGAGCAAGATTAATCACATGGTATTCCATCTTATTTTGCTGTCGTTTTTCCTCATTCTTTCAAAATCCTACTTGTTACCTCTTTCATCTGCATTATTTTCCTAATCTCCAAAATTATTTATTTTGGTGGAAGTATTATTAAAAGGCACAGCAGTCTGCCATTGATTTTACCATTTCCTTTAAATTTAATGTATTTTTAATTAAGAAAGATATCTCACTAGAAAATTACAAACAGCTACAGTAATATTGGACACAATGACATTAAAGCTCTTCTGTATCAATTCGGCATCTTAATTCCTGTTTTATCCTGGGAATCTAACGATTTAGACAGTAACAACATTCCTGTCCTGACAGCCAAACACTTTGTCTCTATTCTGAATAGAAAGAAAACACCTTGAAGCAGTTTTTCAAGAGGGCACCTTATTTTTTCACTCAAGGATTTCTCCTTTTAGACACATATAAAATTGGAGACAGCTGGTTAAAAGTCACAGCAAAGATATTAGAAACACAATCCTCCAGACAAAACAAAAAACTGAGAAAAAGGGTCACAGGTCAAATTACAAAAACTTCTGCTCTAGCCCACAACTGGCTCCAAAATTTTAGGACTGGTGTCATGCCAGGATGTATTGCCTGCCTGCTTTGGTCCAACTCAGTGGAACTCTGAATTGAATTAAGCAGTGATTGAAAGTAAAGGGATAATTCTTTTTTAAATCATAAAACCGGTGACTAATAACTACAGGTTATTGTTGTTTTCCATACAGTCTTTGTTTCCCATGTTGTTCCCAGATGGATGTCTGAAGATAACATGATATGTCATTTTTATGGTCAAGCAAATAAAGAGCATATTCTGCTCTGGAGTAAAAAACAATGTTAGAAATTCTTCTGTCCCTCTACAGGTCCGGTTGCAATCTTTGGCCCGTCAGTGACACCTAGTGACCATAGTGACTAGAATTGTAGTCTCTTCTTCAATTATTTTATTTTTTATTGCTCTTCAGAGCTCCACTGCTTATATCAAAACATATCTGTCCTTTATTATTTTGAATGGATATCGAGACATCAGGGAATAACACTATTATAACAACTATTTTAAAAGCTGTAGAGATTTTGTCCAGGAGTCGAGCCGAGTCTGTTGAATGACGGTATAATCATCACTTTGCATGCGTATGATTTCAGTGGGTTTGTAATGTACTTGTCCTGTAATAAAACCTGAGAAAGACCTTTAGAGTCTTAGGGAGTAATCTCTTGGATACCACAGAGGAATTTGCTATGTAATCAGAGTTAGACCTCCAGATTTTTTAAAAATGACTGCAACTCATGTGTGTTGATCACAGCACCTAGAGAGGCTGTTCCCCTCATAAGTCATGGTGGTTTTTATAGGAAACTTCACAGGTAGTGGACTTTCCATGTCATAGGGTTAATTCCATATAAAAGAGATAAACAAACCAAATTTTACTGACTTGCAAAAAATGTGTGATATGTGTCCAAGTGTAATTTTGCTTCTAGTTTAAAACTTGTAATGCGAAAAACCTAACTTAAGAACCTGTGTTGCCTTTTTTCCTAGCAAGAATTACATTAGATCAGTATTTCTGGAATAATGCACATTTCAGAACTTTAGTCAGAATTAACTTTTTTAACACTACATGTAAGAACACTATCTTGGCTACACAGGAAGATAATTATTAATACAGGAAGCTGTTTTGAAACAACATGGAAGAGGGCCGATACAAAATTTGTACAGCTTGAATTGAAAAGTTAAAACTCAGATATATTTCACAACTTTAATTCTGACCTCAACATTTTGGCCAACTCTAATTAACCCCTGGAATGCCTGCAGGGTAGCTGATAACATAAAATGTTTACCTATAAAATTACCTAAAAGCCAGCGCCTTCTGAAAATGATTCAGTGCTGTAAATAACAGTAATGTTTTCCCACAACCTGTAATACAGTTTATTTTGAAAAATGAGTCACCCAGATGAGTGGTAATAATGGTCCCTAGAGATAAACAATAACTGTGTGATCTCACTGTGCTGATCTGGGCTGTCTATCTTACCTACAACCTCTCTTTCTGCAGACCACAATCTTTCCCTCCTGTAGACCTATAAGACACGGCTTCTGGTGTTAATGTTGATTTCTAGTGTACGATCAGGAATAAAAGGGCTGCCCTACCTCAGTCATACATACAACTACACACACTGATGAGGTTTTCTTGAGCCAGTATGAATTTCAATGCATCTTTGGGGATTCCAGCAAAGTGATCAGACTGAGCAGCAGAGGCAATAAAGTATTATACACTGAAATGTCATACAGTAGACATTCCAGAGTTACAGTTCCTCCTTAGAGTGCAAAGCACAGTAATTATAGATTAAAATATAAGAGAGTACTACTTCATTTCCGTGTAAAACAGTGAAAGAGCTTGCATAAAATAAAGAATAATATTCTTTTATACTCGAAGAGGCATCTAGCAACGAAAGAGTGAAGTGTGATGTCAGCTTCAGAGTGACCGACAGTAGGACATCACACTTCTATTTTATCTGAAGGTTAGCACAGTGATTTAGTCATCTAGAGACACAGCAAGCCTGTGGCAGAGCGTAGACTCAAACCAGAAACCCCTGGAACAAGAACATTTCTCACTCACTGGATCATCTAGTCCTGCTTTAAAAAAATTGACTTGTTTTCACTCACCTTTCCCTCACTGATTTGACTCTATAGATCTGGGTGCAGATTTTCAAGGCTATGAAACAAGACTAGGATGAGCAACCTGTGCAGATCTGGGGACAGAGGAGTGTGGTTGGAGTGCCCTCTGCTGTTAAGAAACAAAAGGTGCATCTAGGTTAAGGATTTAACTCCTGTTTTTTTCTAAGTCCACATAAAGGATCATTCATCCATTTTCTAAATGCTTCTTCCAGGATCACAATGGACTGCAAAACATAAAGGACCATAAAACATTTTAAAAAACTTAACTGATGAGTGAAATGAGAAAAATAAGTTCAAGACTGAGAAAACAATGAGTGGAAAATTGCTTGTTGCTACTGTAAATTCTTAATTCTTATCTAGGAAGTAAAAGTCATTCACACAGCTTTATTTCTAATTCAGGGGGATAATTATGGGAAAAATGTGCCTCATTGAAAATCTATTACTCATGATAACCAAAGCATTTGTTATTGGTCTGTGGAAATGTCAAAGGCTTCAACCCCTGAAGAAACACAATATGGGAAGCTCCTATTCTGATCAACATTTAGATAAGGCATCTAGAAAACATCCAGACTGATCATCCACTATTAGACCAACTGGGTTTGTTCAATGTAAATACAGATCAGAGCAATTCTAGGTGCATGCAGCTTTAAAAAAATGAGGACTGCCTCAGACTACAACTGCTTCACATTGTGTAGGTAAGGCTCCTGTCAACTGAGCAGGACCACCAGGGCTGATCTCAGTAATACCAAAAGAAATCCATGTAGAAAAGGCCATCTAAGAAGCCTGTCACACAGAGAGCAGACTCCAGGCCACTCTGAAAGGCTCAATGCCTGTCCTTGTGGTTGGCATAGCTGGGGAAGCCGAACTGTGAGATCATGAGGTTGGAGTAGCGCAATGGCATGCCGCCGTAGATCTGCACCAGGCGGTTGAGGCAGAAGGAGCGCTGCAGGAGGTGCTCTGCCCGGTGCCACATGCCCAGGTACCCGCTGCTAGCGTCCCGCTCCAAGTTGCGAATGTCCACGGGCTTCACAAACACCCCTGCTGGCTTGTGGGTGATCTGGGACACCATGAAGTTCATGGCAATATCGTCGCAGTTCTGCGTCTCGTCGATCAGGCGGAGCACCTCAGCCGGCTGCCTCTGGAAGGCGTCCAGGTAGCTCTGGTGGAAGAATGCTGCTCCGACTAACACCATAGAATATCTGTCCCCACTGCCGGCCTCAGGGTCCTGCAGCTCGAAGCTGCCATAACTGTACACCCCCGAGGGCGTCAGGACGTGCTTGCGGGGCACGAAACCCACAATTTGGTTGGGGAATTGCTGCAACACAAGTGGAAGACAAAACAGAATTTCATGGTTAACTTTTATAACCGTCACATGTCAAAACATCACCAGTTTTGTACAGTTCCTTTAAAAGCCATAATCTCACAGGTGTACCAAAGAGCTGGAAAAGAATGTTTTGTTTTCTCAGACATTTAGACAAAACTGAAAAATCTTTTCACTTTTTAGGATTTTTCAGTCAAAAAGTGAGGTGCTCACACACCAGCTGACAGTATTATAAGGAAACAATCTTAGAAAACACTAAACAAGTTATTCAAGTAACCAATCCTGAGTAAATGACAAGAAATGCTGTTTTTCAAGTCGTAATTGTACTGTTTAAGAACATCTTCATGATTTATAACTCACTGAGATTTTGTTGTTCAGATAGAATGGGCTGTCAGAATAATCAGGAAATATTACTGGAATCCCACCATAGAAATCACATTATTATTTATTAGTAGTCTAGGACTCTTCCTAACAATGCAGGCCATTAAAATCTGAAAACAAAGATTCCCTGAACACCACATGAAGCCTTACATTCTGAAACCACTTGCTGAAGAAAACTGGGGGCAACACAAGGTATTATGGGGCAACAACCATTATCTGCACATCCTCTAAAGCTTTCAGTCACAAACATGCAAGATACTAGCATTACAAACAATATTGCATTGTCTTTCCTTCTATCATGCTGACAAGAAAGACATTTCCTGTTTTTACAGCCAAAGCCTGCTTGGTTTCCAAAGTCACACAGCAGTGTTTTTTGGCTTTAGCCCATCATCCAACATCAATCAGAAACATAAACAGCAAATCAACAACACGGTAACTATTAAGAAAACACTGCAATCAGTAAACTTAGCTGGTAGTTAACCCATTACAGTGTGCAAAATTCCTGTACAAGATTCAATAAGAACTGTTTATACTTTCAATATTAGGTTTGGCAGTGTGAAAATCTAAAACAAAGGCAAGTTCAAATATTTTCCAAGATCTTACAAACATTACTGTCCAAACACACTAATCTCTGTCAACCTTTCTAATTCACTCAGGAGGACAAGCTGCTCCAATTTCAGTCCAAGAGAAAATTGCTGATGATATAATAATCACTGTACCTTCCAGACAGAAAAGGCAAAGCTGATGTCTGGAGCGCTGATCAGGGTGTCATCATCCAGCATTAGCACAGCTGTGAACACAGGTGAGTGAGACATGAGTAGCATGGTTGAAGTCCCCTGGGGCCACACTACAGCAGGCCTTCCTAGGCCATGAATGGCTTAATACCCAAAGGAAAGGGTTGAGGTGAATCGGCTGGGGTTTAATTGGATCAGTTGACCACTTTTCTCAATGGACACCACGCTTCACCCAGCCTCAGAGCTGGGGAAGCCTTGTTTTTCCAGCTCTGAAGACAAGCTCCATGAGAATAAAAGGTTTGTTACCAGAGCCAATAACATCCTCGTGAATCTTTTAGTGAGCGATCTGTTGTTTAGCAGGATAGGTGAAACTGGCGTATTTTGAGAGCATTTTGAAATGCTCCTTCACTGTTGGACTTAGTTTAATAAGGACTGGAAACTAAACAGATTTTACTCCTTTTATTATGGAAGCAGGATAAGAGCAAATATCACATTAGGAGGTGTTCCAGTAAAGGAGTGGTCACTAGTGTCCAGTTTAACAACCACCTGTTGTGAATTTGGGTTTCTCCTTAGATAAAAGGTATTGTGTTATTGTTAAACACATCCGGTGTAGGTTTAATATAGTTCTAGAACCCTTCACAACAGTTAAGACTGTTAATCATTTAACTTTGATTCAAAAAACAATAATAAGGCTTTTGGTTTATTCATTGGTTTTTCTATAATGCCCAATAAATACTTGGATTTCTGTAGCTTTATTAATGTTTTATGATGTTGTCAGAACAGTTTCAGGACTGTTTTCAGGACAGTTCTGTCAGCTATTCTTGATCCTTCTACGGCCTTTTGACTTAATTCTATAATAAAATCGATTACCCTGACATTTAAGTGAAACTCATTGTTTTGGAGCAATAGTAGTGGCCAAAGAATTAAACAGTTACATTCAGAGATTTAAAATGTCATCAATAGGCAAATAATAACAATTCCTTACACTTAGCACTTTATAGGTAATGGGAACTCCCCTCCACCACCACCAATGTGCAGTACTCACCTGGATGATATGACGGCAGCCATAGTGCACACAGTACGCTCACCACACAATAAGCTATCAGTGGGGAGGAGAACAGAGTGACGAAGCCAATTCATAGATGGAGATTATTAGGAGGCTCTGTTTAGTAAAGGCCAATGGGAAATTTGGCCAGGACAGCCAGTGTAACACCCCTACTCTTTTCAAGAAACACCCTGGGATTTTTAATGACCATAGAGAGTCAGGATCTAGCCTCATCCGAAGGATGGCACCTTTTCACAGTACAGTGTGCCCCTCACTATACTGGGGCATTAGGACCCACCCAGATTGGGGAGTGAGTGCCCTCTACTGACCCCACTAACACCTCTTACATTCAGGTACTGACTAGGTTCACACCTGCTTAGCTTTAGCGGCAATATTTTGAATGTTCCTAGATTGATGCTCCTAGGCCTCACAAAGGACATAAGAGCCAGTGCTTTTTGACTAATGTAGTAGATAAAGAAACAAAAGTGTTGTTACAATAGTGATCTATCCAATGTAAGGGAAGATAAAGGTTTCTAAGCACTATACCTTTGGAAAAAGCATTCAAAACATATTACTTTCTGTATTATCAATTTCAAATATAAAATAAAATAAGATTTTATTACATGAGGGCCTGACACATCAGAGAATGAAGTCAATTTCCTTTTCTTTAAAATATTTCCTGAATGAAGAACAATACTGGTATATTAACACTTGTGAGGACTGGAGGTTCATCATGGAATCAGCAGAGTTCAAAATAAATTTAAAAACTCTTCATCAATGTAACTGCAAAACAAAAACAGATGAGTAGACTTTTTTGTCCATGAATATGTGCCAGTGCTAGTCCTCCCTCCTACGCACTCTAAAATCCCTCCTAAAATCCTAAAGTCATGACACTACAGTACCTGCAACAGGTACAGTGTGTCACAGGGATGCTTCACTGCTATGGAAGGGTTTGCAGCAGATGCTCATTTCTAGAAGGGCACCTGTTGTGAATAGCTGTCAGTGTGATCTCCCCTCACCCCTGTGTAAGGCCTACTGCCATCACCTTCAGTCTCCTGCTCTGGGAAGCGTTGCAGCCTGTTGCGCATGAGGTTCACAGCCTGCTCCTTAAAAACCACAGGCACAGGGTGCGGCTCCAGAGAGTCCCACAGCTCCTGGGGCACCTTCTCTCCCACACTGTTCCACACGATGATGATTCGGTGCAGGTGGGGCACGGCCTGATAGTGGTTGAGCAGTTTGAGCAGCAGGTCAGTGCGATTGTAGGTCTGCATGATGATGGTGAAGGAGTCCGAGAGAGATCCCCGAGGCTGGGACAGGCTGGCTCTCCTGAGGACACCCAGGCCCCCATCGTCCACTCCAGGCAGCAGCAAGGTCAAACCCACCCCAACCACGAAGAGCAGGAGGATGGGCACAATAAGGTACCTGCGGTTGGTGCTGTGCATCTTGCAAATACGGTAAAAGATCCTGGCAGGAAAGAGTACAGGATCTGAGTACAGTACAGTAAACTGCAGAGCACTTTGAGGTCACAACAGATAAATAACACCCTAAACAAGAACCAGAAATAAGAAGTTTGCAATGTTCCCACAGCACTTTCATGACTGAGGTTCCTTCTGTAGAACTGGAACTACAAAGTTCACATTGTTATGCATAACTACATTGTTATGTGTGAGTCTGCTCCATTTGTGCTTGGTGAAGTGCCAGTAATTAGTAACTGGTTTATCTTCATCTCATGGCTGTGGGAAACGTAAACCTGTATAGGAAATTCACCTATTGCCCTTTGTTGTACACAGCCATTTAATTGTAACCTATGGAGAAAATTATTTCTTCTTTCATTATACCAATCATTTTATTTGATACAACACACTGTGCTACTCCTTGCCACAGACAGCTTTACAGATCTATGGGAGTCTCAGGCCCAGTGGTTGCTCCACTCCTCCAGACAATAGTTTGGGGTATGTTAATTATAATAGATAACTAACTATGATAATAGTTTCTGAAAAATCCATGGTTAGTATTAATCAATTATTCTCTGTAAAAACCACAGGACAGGGAGAGCTCATAGGATGCTTGGAAAGACATTTATCTGCAGTTTCACTGGAATCGCAGAAGCATTATTCCTGCTTGATGCACAGCCTAGACTGAAAATGCAGTAAGACAACTGATTGAAGCAACATTTCCAAAGCAAGAGGAAGTAAACATTAGTCATTCTTTAAAATGTAAATTCATGCTGTCTTCATTCTCAGTTTGGACTTAAGGAATAGATTGCAGCTTGGCTACATTTTGTTTGTGTATGGTTAGATTTCATTAGGTTTACATTCTGCTAAAACTATGGCACAGTTCTCAACGTCAAAACCTGATTAATTAGACCACTTTCCATTTTTCTCTCAGCCTGTGAGCTCCCATTTTCTGTAGAGTTTTTAATATCTGTTGTTTTCTGTCATTTCTGTTTCTTACTTGTAATACCAAAACAAATCCGAAAATACATTCTGAAGAAGAAGTAAGATCTGTTGACATTTCACTGACGTTGTCACATTTTCCAGCTTCACAGATTATGACTGAAAAGGTTTTGCTATTTCTGGTTTTGTTCCTAGGGGCAGATTAAGCTATGATATTAGAGGAAATACCACAAAGGCATTAAATATGTTGGAGTGAGGATCTGCATCAGTGTGGATTGGCTGCAACAGAACAAGTTAAGGTTAACTCCATGCTGAAAAACAGAAGAAAACAAAATGTTTCAGGCAGGAATATAAAGCACAGGAGAAAACAGACAGAGTTGGAGATTGGGATAATGGGCACATACTGTAGGTGAGTGACTACATGAAAGTCTGTGGTTCTACAGCTTTTTGGCAGTTTACAATGTTGGGATCCAGTGATTCATAATGTTTCATTTGATCTATGGACATTACAGTCCTTTACACTTGTAGTCCCCATGATGATGGTCAAATAAGCCCTCAAGCACACACTTAAATATACAGGACTTGATCCCCATATTCATACCCACTTACAATTAGCTGAACTGAATGCGTTTTCTTACTATAACCTTTCCTACCAGCTCAGTGGATCTGCCATGGTTACCAAGATGGGACCACGTTATCCCACCATCTTGGAGGGCTGGGTAGAAGAACTTTTCTTCACTTTCTATACAGCTTTTGTCCCCAACCTCTACAAGTGGTGCTGCCGCCTGCTACAGCAATTCCTGCATCATTTCACCAACTTTCACCCTTATCTAAATTTCAACATCAATGTGTATACTCCACAACTGTTTTTTTTCCAGACACAAGCCTCTCCATTCTCTATCCAGGACTGTATCCCCTTTATAGCTCCTTCCACCCCAAACATAAAAACTCTATCTCTCCCCTTCTCACGATTCCTTAAACTTCATCAGTTATGCAGTGATAACACGTCTTCCATAAACAAGCCCTTCTAATGAGTTCTTTCTTCAGTGACTGGGGACTTAGTAATTCCTTTGTTAAGATTTGTAGAAATATTCTAACAAAGATATTTCAAGGTTTCATGAGGCTTTGAGCTATAAGGTACAGAAAGACTGGAATAACTTACCTCCTGAAATAAGATCACAAATTTTAATTTGTGTAGTTAAAAGCAAACTAATTTTGTATTTAAAAACAGAATGTTTTTGAAATATACTTATTCATTTTAATATTTTATTTAGCCAAATATTCATTTAAGGCACTTAAATAATTTGTATTTTTATTTACTTAGTATATATACCTGCCACATTAGGTCTCTCTCACACACACCCAAAGAAGATTCAACATAATGATTATTTAAAAAACAAGCAAAATATGAATTTCCCAATCAATGCGTTCTATATACTAGTAGACTTTTGACATAGCTGTTCTAATTTGTAGCAGCCTCATTGTCGTTGTATTGTTTTTATTGCGCTACTCTTCCGTTCTTACACAATGTACACTTTCTATATTGTAATTCGCACTGGATAATGGTGTCTACTAACAGAACAACACATATGCATCTACAGACTAACTTGCAGTCAGTTGGTGTTAAAACTTACTCTTCAATGTTTCTATAATACTTTAAAGAACACACTCGACTTTGTTTGCAATGAATGAGTGGTTGCGTGTGAATAAACAGCATCTATACTTGGAGAAACTAAAGGTTGCATAATCTATATTAAATCACGTTTACACATTTCCCAGTTTTAGTCATCCCGAGTCAGCAGTTCTAAAAAAGAAACGTAGATGAATGCAATAAAACTTTTTCAAAAACTTTCGTAAGAGCATACACGAAGAAAACAACAAAAACTTTGTTTGTTGTTTATGACGAAAAGCTGTCCGGTCGAATTTGCATATTCCTCCAAAACAACTTTCCATTTGTCGGGTCCTTAATTGATGCAGTTGATACCCGTAACAGTTCAGAATGAAAAAAATCAAATACAGTCGTCTCCGTTATAAACCTACCATGTGGCATAAATCATTTTCAGTTTATGCATCCTGATTTGTAGTTGTTTGTAAGGTTTGGGGAGAAAAAAGTGTCAGTCTAAACGTATACAAACAAACCTGCTCACACACCGCATCATCACTAATAGTATTCATATTTATTATTTTCATTTCTATACAATACAAACTAGATTCCATCTCGCCCTAAAAGAAAAGGCGAAACTGCTGTAACACGATTACCTCATTTCATCCCGAGGATTTCCCAACACTTCAAGCTCTTCCTGCGGTGCCGGGTCTTGGGTTCCTGCGCAGCCGTGCGGGAACGTTTACCGAAGCCTCGAGCTCCGCGAGGATTGAAATGTGAAACCCGTAGTTACTGTAGCTCCGCGCTTGGGGCAATCATTAGGCGTGTAAAACAGGGTATTATATCTTTGCTCGAATTTCGTGAAAAACTGACAGTCTTTAAAATTCAGGATCTTTACATGCACAAGCACAATCATACGTACACTGTATCTAGTGGCTGAATGTTTTTTTTTTTTTTCGTTTTTTCGTTAACACATACAGGCATTCTAATGTATAATTGTTTAAATAATGAAAGATAAATAAGACGTAAACTTCAGCAGCCAGGTTAAAATAATGTTATAGAAAGGTGTCGGCTTTAATAAGATCGCTATTTTCTAGCATTTCATACAAAGGTTTGAAAAATGTATAAAGCCGAGAGTTTTTTTAAGATACCCAAGTCTCTGATTAACTTCCCACATTACATCCTCCACACTCACTGTTCTCAGTGCGTCTTTAACACTTGCCCTTTTTTCCCTCAGTCTTCTTTTCACATTTTCACAGATATTGACGCAGTCTTAAAGGGCGTTATATAGACTGGAGTGAAATTCTGCCATTCGTCCATCCATTTCTACTCCTGCTGAGAGGCACGCAAATCTTACAAAAATACCAGTGTTGTGATCTGACTTGGACAGGAACATTCTGGGAATTATGAATGAAACAGCAATATGGTCTTGTTTTTAGAGAAACACTATACTATTTTAATTGGTTTTACCAACGACATTGTTTTTGGAACACCCCGTGAATTCCTTCCCAATGAATTCTAGATGAAACAGGTTGCATTTCTCATTCTGTTCCTATCCTTCATGAGCCCATTTCACTAACATCTAAAGCTGCTGTTCTGCATAGACCCGAAGAGCCCCTAATCTAGTTATTCCTATACAGTAGGTCTCCCTCCTGAGTAGAGGGTTCTGTTTAACAGTTCAGGGCGATGGGGGAGCCAGGGCCTATCCTGGCAAGCAACAGTAGCAAGGCAGTGTACACTCTGGGCAGGAAGTTAATCCAGCACAGAGCACACACTCACACAAGGGCCAATTTTCCCAGAAGCCAATTAATGTATATGGACTGTGAGAGGAAACTGGAGCACACAGGGTGAACACATCATCTCCACAAAGATTGGAATTGATTCCAGAATTGAACCCAGTGCTCCAGCGTTGCTAGGCAGCCATGCTAACCACTGTGCCAGTCACATATTTTATTATACGCTTTTTAATGTTTAGGTCGCATAGGTGTATTCCTATTGGGAACGTGGCTAGTCATGGTTTATAAGTCTTTATAAGGTCAGCAAACCATTTAACAGTGAAATAATTTGAAGTATGATGGCTATGGTGTATTCCTGTTTGAAAACACTTCTCTCGTCTACTGTCAACACAGGCGTTTTAGTGTGTGCACATAGGGAGCCGTACATTTTCATAAGGTAAATACAATTCAGGTGAACGTAAAATATGTCAGGGTCAGGCAGCTCTGCATTTAATTGCGCAGTAACCTGAGTGGCAATCAGCGACCCCCTCTGGCCGGAAGTGCCGTTGTTCTCCACCGCAACAAGCCTGTGACTCCGGGTATCCGGCCAGTCAGTGCAGCTTCAGTGCCGGGGTTCGGTGTTGGGCTGATAAAAATGTTACCTTTGTCTATTAAAGATGATGAATACAAACCTCCCAAATTCAACCTCGTGGGCAAGATCTCGGGATGGTTTAGGTAAACGGATGATATTTCTATAACTTTTAAGTCAAGAGACGGGTGTTTTGGTGATTTCTCCTCCGCCGGCGTTGTGGTAGTGAGGATTTGTCCGGGTTAGGAACTTCTCCCTGGGCGGGCAATGGCGCAGACACTGCGAGGCCTTACGGTAACACGCGTTGTTCAGGAAAACATTTTAAGTGGGCTTTTGGAAGTGTAAAATGCTGCTGCCTGTGATTTTCCAATGGCAGTGTGCAGATTGGTGCAGTGCCGAGGAGTGTATCTGTATGAACCACAGATGGCAGTGAAAGTACATACGGTCATCTGAAATTGCGTAAAGAACTACTGAATTCATAAGGGACATCTTAGTTTACCGGGTGTTACGCTTAAAATGAAAAGACCGCTTCACAGTTTCACAGACAGTCAACACCCTTAACACGCAAATGATGTACCTGGATTATGGTCTAATGTTGCCGGGAGATGCCATATGTTAATTTGTTGCCTGTATACCGACAGAAGGTAATATGGCTGCTGTAATGTTTTTTGACATAGACATATAAATGTACTTTGTTTTTACACATTGAATGGTGATGTAAATCTAAAGGGCAGCACCAGGACGTTCAGTTGACAGAGAGTCGGGGGTGAGTTTTAATGAGTCCCCCGTGTCGGTCAGTTTCTTTAGCAGCGCTTCCTTGTTGCAGTGCTGGGGGTAGCCCTGTCTGGTAATTCTCCCTTCTTCTGTTTGCAGATCTATCCTTTCGGATAAAACCTCTCGAAACCTGTTCTTCTTCCTTTGTCTGAATCTCTCCTTCGCTTTTGTGGAGCTGCTGTATGGGATATGGAGTAACAGGTAAGAAGACGGAAAACACTCGCAGAAGTTCTCGGACGCGCCTGGCTGACGATACCAGGATGTGCCACGTAGGTCTGGAGAGCAGTGCTCCTCCGTAGTGCTTATTCCACAGACATGGAGCAATAGCTGGCAGAGGGAGATGGGATTTTTTTCTTTCTGAGGCACGGTTTGTGATACTTGCTCAAAACGCAGGGTTTTGATGGAGAAGCTGAACCATCAGAGTGCTGTGATTTAGGGAGACTGATCCAGGAGGGGCTACTTGGCAGTGGCCAGTTCCTGTATCTTAGACTGCGCACATAGGTAGGGGCAAAATAGCAGATTTCTCCATTACGTGGTGCTGTGTATAATGTGCCAAATGCAGCAAGCAGATAATTGGAACCAAAGCATTTTTCCAAACAGTATACAGTCAACAGGAGGTCAACTGCTTTCTTGTGAGGCGATGTATTAATGGACTGTGTGCAGTGCTGATTAAGCATTTTAATTTGTTTTGACAACTACCAAGTAGGTTCAGTAAACAGCATGTGGTCTGTATCATCTTTTTTTAACAATTCTCTTCTGCTCCTGCCTCCAAATAGCTTAGCTGTGCATTTGAAATCAACTGTAATTAATTGCGTACCCAGATCCACTGCATCCGACTGGGTGAGGTGAAAGCTTTTTGCTCTAGTCACATGGTCCTGCAGGGTCTTTCTGTTAGCAGTGCAAAGCCCGAACACAACTGTCTGTATCACTTCCACATGGAGGACAGTCAGCTGATGTCATGTCAGACGTTCAGGGCCCTAGGCTGAGAATTCCCCTGCTTTACTCCACTCCATCCAGTCCTAACAGTGCTCAGCCAGCTGTGCTCTGTTCCTGGGAATTCCGAAACAGCTGGCCACAGCTGCAGTTTGGATTGGGGCAGGTAGCAGCAGGGCTGTAAGGGTCATCCTCCACTGCAGGTAGATGAGCTCTGCTTGTCTGTCAGCTACACAGAGGAACGATGTCAGATTATCAGGAGCACTTTTACGGTATGTTTCTCAGCTGCTGTTGACCGATGCAGAGTGGATATGCAATGGAAGTTGCATTCTTGGAGGAAAAAAAATGATTTTTAACAGGTTTTGTTCATTTGGAAGCAATCCCTGCTGGTTTGAATCACAGTATGGAGCTTTTGAATAGAAAATAAAAGTGTGCCTTGTGCAGAATTTTCCAATTGCAGGATGAGTTTATAATGAATTATTGAACTTGGTGGTATAGTTAACAAGAACAGAAAATCAACATTTAATGTTTTTTTTTTTTCTACGTTCATCTAGTTATAACAATACAAAAAATGAACCAGAGAGCACAACTGGAAACCATGTGAAATTGCATTTAAAACTCAAAGGTTTGTGGGAGTATGACACGAGCTGCTGAGCCCAAAATAACATTCTTCATGCCATTAAAGAATAAATCTTGGTTTCAGCTCGGCAGATCAATTAGTTACTAATGGGCTGGTTGACCTCCTATTGTTTGTTATACTTATATTCTTATCATGCTCCAACCACAGCAATTATTTAACAGCACCCATGCTGAACACCTGTGTTGGACTAGGGTCCCACTAAGGGGGAGGTGCATGCTCCCTGAGTGGCTGGGACAGGCTCCTGCTGGGCTGCAGCCCTCTCTAAGAGAAAGCAGCGTTTCAGGTGTGTGTGTGTGTGCGCCTACTAACTTACTGACCAGTACACTGCTGCACAGTGCCCAAGTACGTGAATAATGCAGCCTGGGGATTAAATGCCCTTAAATGACGGACTCCCAGACCTGGTCCTGGGGATCTCCACACCTGCAGATTTTTGTTCCAGCTAAACTCTTGGGTACTTAATGGAATCCTTAATTGACCCACTAACAGGATTAACTGGTTGAATGCAATTAACTTTCGTTTTGTCTGTTCCTAAATGTGTTGGAGTTTTCCTTTTATCTACTGTTTCATAATTAACTTAAGATCTTGTTAATTAACTTGTTAGTTCACCTAAGGACTCAAATACAGCTTGGCTGATGTGAAAGGCTGTGGGTGTGTGGGCCTGAATGACCAGGGTTCAGATCTGCTGGTAAAACGGGCAGCAACAGTCACCTCTAATTTAATAATTACCAGTTATTTCTAGTTTTCTGATAATTTGTTCTTTTAATTTTGTTGCCTTTTCTTTTATAACTTGAAGGCTACATCAATATACAGTGGTGTGAAAAAGTGTTTGCCCCCTTCCTGTTTTCTTATTTTTTTGTATGTTTGTCACACTGAAATGTTTCAGATCATCAAACAAATTGAAATATTAGACAAAGATAACACAAGTAAACACAAAATGCAGTTTTTAAATCAAGGTTTTTATTATTGAGGGAAAAAAAAATCCAAACCTACATGGCCCTGTGTGAAAAAGTGATTGCCCTCCCTGTTAAAACATAAATCAACTGTGGTTTATCACATCTTTGGAAAGCTGAGATTTATCAGTCTGGAAAAGGTTATAAAGCCATTTCTAAAGCTTTGGACTCCAGCAAACCACAGTGAGAGCCATTATCCACAAATGGCGAAAACATGGAACAGTGGTGAACCTCCCAGGAGTGGCCGGCCGACCAAAATTACCCCAAGAGCGCAGCAACGACTCCAAGAGGTCACAAAAACCCCCACAACAACATCCAAAGAACTGCAGGCTTCACTTGCCTCAGTTAAGGTCAGTGTTCATGACTCTACCATAAGAAAGAGACTGGGCAAAAATGGCCTTCATGGCAGAGTTCCAAGACGAAAACCACTGCTGAGCAAAAAGAACATAAAGGCTCATCTCAGTTTTGCCAGAAAACGTCTTGATGATCCCCAAGACTTTTGGGAAGATACTCTGTGGACTGATGAGACAAAAGTTGAACTTTTTGGAACGTGTGTGTCCCATTACATCTGGCGTTAAAGTAACACAGCATTTCAGAAAAGGAACATCATACCAACAGTAAAATATGGTGGTGGTAGTGTGATGGTCTGGGGCTGTTTTGCTGCTTCGGGACCTGGAAGACTTGCTGTGGTAAATGGAACCATGAATTCTGCTGTCTTCCAAAAAATCCTGAAGGAGAATGTCCGGTCACCTGTTCGTGACCTCAAGCTGAAGCACACTTGGGTTCTGCAGCAGGACAATGATCCAAAACACACCAGCAAGTCCACCTCTGAATGGCTTAAGAAAAACAAAATGAAGACTTTGGAGTGGCTTAGTCAAAGTCCTGACCTGAATCCGATTGAGATGTTGTGGCATGACCTTAAAAAAGCGGTTAAGGCTCGAAAACCCTCCAATGTGGCTGAATTACAACAATTCTGCAAAGATGAGTGGGCCAAAATTCCTCCACAGCGCTGTAAAAGACTCATTGCCAGTTATCGCAAACGCTTGATTGCAGTTGTTGCTGCTAAGGGTGACCCAACCAGTTATTAGGTTTAGGGGGCAATCACTTTTTCACACAGGGCCATGTAGGTTTGGATTTTTTTTTCCCCTTAATAATAAAAACCTTCATTTAAAAACTGCATTTTGTGTTTACTTGTGTTATTTTTGTCTAATATTTCAATATTTCAAAAATAAGAAATCCGGAAGGGGGCAAACACTTTTTCACACCACTGTATCTGTGGAAATCAAGAGCAGTTGTGCCCATGTCACCGACAGAATCCATGCTTGGCCCTCATCCCTGATGGGTGTAATTTCTTAGTGTTGGAGTTTTGCTCAGTGCCATTGGAAACCAAGCCCCTGGTGTTTCTGGAAGGGCTCTGTAATGCAAGCGGGTGAAACTGCTGTTGCAACAAGTGAAAAGAATCATTAGGCTTCCTGTCAAGATTTTTATATAGAATAGAATCCTGTGCGATTTCTTCCACCCTTTGCCATTTATGAGGTGTAAAATTGAGCTGAAGGTTTTTATTCTTGTCCTGCTTCCTCATTCTTTTAATTGTATGTTTGTCATGAACTACCAGCTTGTTAACAGACCTGAATACGAGCACAGTCTTATGCTCGGTGCTGGCGCCACAATGGGCGACCAGCCTGTTATTCCAGACTGTATGCTTATGCAGGATTCTTTTCCTTCCTCTTCAGCCTGGGGCTCATATCAGATTCTTTTCACATGTTCTTTGACTGCACGGCCCTACTGGCTGGCCTGGCGGCATCCGTGATCTCGAGGTGGAGGTCCAACGATGCCTTCTCCTACGGGTAAGGGAATGAAGCATGTGTACCTCAGTCTGTGTGTCAGATAGTCCTGTTCAGGCCTGGACAGCGGTAAAACTGCTGGCTTGGTGCTGTGGGGACTGGGAAGAGTTTGTTAATATACATCCAAGACTAAACTCACATCCTCACTAGAACTCATACAAGTTCTGGCTTTAATATGTTTATTAAAAGTTTAAGTCATTAAAAATAAGGAGCTTGCTGGCTGCTATATCACTCTCAAAACTCACATCTGGCAGTCCAATGAAACTAAGCAGTTATGAGCTTGGCCAGTACCTGGATTGAAGGCATCCTGGGAAAGCTAAGGTTACTGCTATGGAAGAGGTGTTAGAGGGACCAGGACCAGGGGAGCGCTCATCCTGTGGTCTCTGTGGCTTTTCATGCCCCAGTATAATCCTAACTCTCTGTGGTCAATAAAAATCCCAGGGAGTTTCTCGAAAAGAGTAGGGTTGTTGCCCTGGTGTCCTGGCCAAATTTACCATTGGCCTTTACCAATCGTGGCCTCCTATCAGTCCCCACCTATGAATTGGCTTCATCACTCTGTTCTCCTCCCCACTGATACCTGATGCTGGGTGAGGGGACTGGCTGCTGGTGGATGCTGGACATTGGTGGTGGTAGAGGGGAGTCCCCATTACCTGTAAAATAATGGAGTGTCCAGAATAGCTCTATATAAGTATAAGGGGGATGATGATGATGATGATGATGATTATATATTTCAGTCAGTCCTCAGTTTGTCAGCACAGTCAGTTCCTTGAGTTTGTGTTTCTAGTTAAAACAAAATTATTTTCCATTGTAAGTGTTATTAATGTGGAGTGGATAACTGAAGCAAGGCTACATACCCTATTAACACTAAAATAATCCAGAATTTATGTATTCCACAGGACAGTAAAACTGAATTGAAAGAAATTTATTTGGCATTTATTTAGCACTATTTCTTTCCTATGCACGTTGAATATGTACCGCTGATCAGCTGTCCACTGTTCCTGCTCAGACCCAGTGAACAGCTGAATAAAACCAATTTGTTTGTAAGACTTAGGGTTAAGTTTTATAGTGAATAGCTAATCGGTCATGTGTTTACTATGTGCAGGCATTAAATAAGTTTTAATTTCAGAAAAGGCAAAATACTAAATTTATCATTCAAAGTCATTCATTTCAAAAGCAGTTGAAAAACCTGTGTTTTCTCAAGATAAACACAGAGTCATATGGGCACAATAATTACAAACATAATTAAAGTGCGCTAATATTTTTGTATTGTAAATCCCAGTCACATTTAACATACAATTTAACCAGATTTAATTTTCTGCCAATGTTGTAGTCAAAGAAACACCACATTTTAAGAACTATGTGAATCTATTTCCAAACTATTCCAATGCCATTTTTAGTTACTGAGTGACACAACATCAATGTACATGTGTTTGCGTCTGAACTTGTTTGCTGGCTTTGTGTAGGAGCAAGCTGTCATCAGGCTGAGTCTGACACCAGAGAGTCAGACCGTCAGTCTGTGAAATTAGGAAGTGTTGTTTGTCGTAATGTGAAGTGGTGTCCCCTTCCACTTTACCTTGTCTGTGTTCTCTCTTAGGTATGTGAGGGCTGAGGTCCTGGCTGGGTTTGTGAACGGTCTCTTTTTAATCTTCACAGCTTTTTTCATCTTCTCTGAAGGAGTGGAGGTAGGCATTGTACTGCTGTTCTGCAAGCAGCTGAAATAATTTGTCCATAATTGACTTGTGCTTTATAGTGTACAAGTTAACAAATATAAATGTTTTCCTGTGCTTTGCCACCAGGTGGCAGTGTGGCAAACATTGATGAGTTTGGTTAGACCAGTGGTCCTCAAACTTTTTGGACCAAGTACCACCCCTAATCTAACCAAAGCATCCAAGTACCACCTACAAGTCATCATCTCATAGGAACCCCAGAAATTCTCAATGACCAACATGAGCGGGCGTGCACACACACACTCACACATATAATAAATACTATAATAATAAACTTTCTTTCATATAGCGCCTTTAAAGGTGGCTTCTCAAAGTGTTTTACAGAAAAAAAAACAGTAACAACAACTAATAAAAAAGCACCGTTTCAGTGAGAGGTGTGAGCCTGTTTAATCGAGCAAAGCAGAAGTTAATTAATTTTTCAAGCCTTGATACAATTCACAACAGAGTCTAACAGATTTTAAATCGTCAGGCATTTTCTTGACGGCAAAGGTCTCACGGTGGATGTTGCAATGCGTCCATTAATTTCTGGAGCAACCTCTCTAATTCATGCAACTACACCATTATGTCAGCTTGTCATTGCTCTAGTTGTACAAACTCCAACACATTTTATCCAGTCGATGCCATTCTCTTCGATAAATTCATTCAGAAGCTGAAATATGTTCTCTCCTGTAGTTCCTGTTGGTAGCAGTTTACAGAACAGAAAGTCCTCACGGGACATACCCTCAAACTAGTATCTAACGTAAACGAGCAAATTTGCCAAATCGACTACAGACTCATCTAATTGCAGTGAGGCTCCCTGCACATCTGCTCATCTTAACGCGCTCTATCAGTGTACTTTTGATATTATCCTTCATTTCAATAATTCTATGAGTGGCTGTGTCTTTCGGGGGGCAGCAGGTCAAGCTGTTTAGCAGCCTTTTCTCCACACATAATACGTATCAGCTGTTTTGCCAACTGTAAATAAGGTTATTCAAAAATAGTGTGGCTTACCTGGTTTAGCAATCCACAAGCTTGCATTTTTCTGCGTTTCTGTTTTTATTCCGTATATATTTAAAGTTTTTATTTCATGCGCATGGGAGCGAAACGCAGAGATGCTCGGTGTATTTTTCTCAAATAAATTTAGAACAGTTCTAAATATTTTTCTGTTATCTATCACGCTTTCCTGTGCTCACAAGATTACCAGCGTTCGTAGCACGTATTTCTATGCATTCCTGTGTTTACAACCTTAGCATTGTTCCAAAATCAGACATTCTCCTTCCTCCCCATTTGCTGGAGATACAATAGCTTTTTTTAAATACAATTGGTCACTTGCGTCCGAAGCACGCATTCCTATACAGTGGTATAGAATTACAGAGTATCTCTTGTGTCCACTGAAGTATTAGCGCGCCCTGTATCGTAGTACGTAGGCTGTGTATTCATCACGTATTAAAATACAAAATATGAAAACCCGTCCCGATTTTTCAGCGCACACAACACATTTCCAGGGTCATTTGAGGTCCCACCTGGCGGCACTCCGCATACCACTGCCGGTACGCGTACCACAGTTTGAGAACCACTGGGTTAGACCAAAGCCAGGGAGCAAGCTGCAAACTCTTCAGGGCTTCATTCTGACTAATTATATGTGTATCTGCTTTTGCAACACTGTAATTAATTGGTCATGGCAATAAAACACTTATTTTGAATTTGACAAAGCAAGCCTACAAAAATGCAACAACAAAATTGATTTGGCTTTCTGAGGGTTGTTGCCATTGATGTCTGCATCATAGCTTTGCCTTTGAAAATACAGATGAGATCCATCCAGCATCAGTCACTTATGTTACAAATGATGCTGTGACATGCAGAAAAAGAGAAAGGAGTAATACCTCCCTAAGAGGAAAAGTGAATAAGAGATGTCCTTGATGCTGCATAATTTATGGTTAATTTATGGTTAATAATTTATTTCCAGCTTCTGGATTTGTTGTCCATATCAAGGAGCCTAGGGATTAAATGTTCATGTTGTAAAACATACAGTGCAGTTCTTGACTGGCCAAGTCAATCACCCAACCTGAATCCCATTGAGCATGCTTTTCACTTACTGAAGACATGACTGAACGCAAAAAGCCTCCAAAACAAGCAGGAACTGAAAATGGCAGCATTACAGGCCTGCCAAAGCATCATCAGGAAGAAACCCTGTCTGTTGATGTCTATGGGTTGCTGACTTCAGGCAGTCATCGACTGCAAAGGACTTGCAACCAAGTACTAAACATGACAATTGTATGGGAATTGTGGGGTTTTGTTCTACTGGGGTTTGGTTGCTGAGTGCACGCATCGTGTGTTTCAGAGAGCGCTTGAACCCCCAGATGTCCATCACGAGAGGTTGCTACCAGTGTCAGTGGCCGGACTCCTGGTTAATCTGGTTGGCATCTTTGTGTTCCAGCATGGCGGCCATGGGCACTCCCATGGAGATGAAGGTAAGAGCAGTACATTGTTCATGAGGTGAAAACAGACGTAAGAGCGGTAAGGCTTCCCTAATCTTTGGCTTTGCACAAAGGTCCTAAGGGGGAATGCTGTTTATGGAGAAAGTGCAGAGTCTGCCTTACAAGCAGGAGATTAAAACCCCTTCATAGCAGGTCTGAGAGGTAGGTAATCTGGGGTTTCTCAAATCCTTAGTATATACATATTGTATATATCACCCAGGAGAGATTCTCTGAACATAGCATGATTGTCTTGGAGGGCAAAATAATCATGAGATTACAGACTGTTCGAGGCCATTCAACTTGATGAGATTATCATGGTAATGATTCATTCATCAATGATTCACGGTAGTGTACTCACCAAATGTGAGCTCCATTGAATATCTGGGGAGTGAGCTGGATTGATAAGTGGTATCTAGAGCTCAGATACCAGTGAACAGGCCGCTTGTCCAGGTTCTGTGAGAGAAAGGGGGTAGAGACCCCACAAGACCGCATCTTAAACCTGATGTAAACCTGATGAATGCATCGCAGGTGTTCAGCTTGTGTTACTTCCATTGGTGGTCATGTACATTACTTATCTGAGGCTTTTACAGTAGGTAAACCCTGTCACTGACAAGTGTCAGTCAGTGTAATGGATTTATCCATGTCCCTTCTATTTTATAAAAAGTCACTTGCAGGAATGTACCTGTGGGAATTGTCATTTTTCTAAATTATGTGAATTAGTTATGAATGGTTATTTTAATGCTTAGTAATATATTTGTTTACCAGAATTACTTAATTTGATGTGAAGCAAACCATCTTTTGATGAAAATGTCCTTCTGGCTACATTCACGTTTGGCCTTTGTAGTTTCTAGCCTAGAAGCACATCAAGACAGTGTGACAGAGCCTGAGAGCTATGCTGCCCCAAGACCCACTCACACTGCTGTCCTGTGAAAAGAAAGAAATCTTCTTTTTTGCTTTCCATATTCTATAGCAGTATGAAAACAGCTAGTGATAGTTGCCCAATCTGTTTCAAGTAAAAACAAACCAATTTTTTAAAAAAAATGTTTGTTTGCAGGCCATGGTCACAGCCATTCACTGTTCAATGGCAGTCTGAGTCATGGACACGGTCATGGAGGCTTTAGCCATGGGCACGAGTTGAAGCACGGGCACGACGACCATGGGCACGGGCACGGGCACGACGACCATGGGCACGACGACCATGGGCACGGGCATGGGCACGACGACCATGGGCACGGGCACGGCCACCATGGGCATGGGCACGATCACCAGGAGACGCATTGCCATGGTAAGGTAAAGCTTTGTCAGCATGCTATCCACTTCATACATCCAGATTGCTAGCTTTGGGTTTGTAACCCAGTTATACATGTTCAGTAGAAAGTGGCACAGTGCAGTTTTCTAAAGAACTGAGGGTCTTCCACTGATACTGAGGTGCTGTTGATTGTTAAACATGGAAAAAGGTATCCCTCAGACCAGTGCTCTCTGAAAATAAATTCTCTAGTCCTGAAAAGCAGGTGGTATCAATACAGTTATCCTCACATCATGGTACAGTCAGTATTCAGTATTTTCTGCTTGGTTCAGTTCGCTTTTGAGCGGTCTGTTTTCAGAACTTGGTTCATGTATAAACAGGCAGTACTCGGACACAGTTGATTCCTGTAATCAATGCCGTATGTTGAAATGTTATAACACGGGATCTGATTTTCCCAGAGGAACAAGGTTAGAAATGGAGGATTAGTTTATAAGCCAAGGATGAATATCCTGCTTTCACTAAAATACTCCATTAATTATATATAAGGGAACCAGTGACAGTGTTCACCTGGATGTGCTCAGACAGCATGAGTTTCTTAAACTGCCTTTAAGTTGAATTGCATTGCATTTTTGCTGATATGAAAATTGATTAATGCCCTTGTGTAGCACTGATTAACTATTTACTATTCCTGCCAACAATCATAGTACGTGAAAAGCTGAATATTGTTACTAATTGGTACAAAGTTTAAATTTTGGGTTCAGTTTAATAGTGAACTGCTGATTACATGTTTTCTGTGCAAAGAAATTGAGCACTGGTTTTCATCTCGGTAAAGACAATACTGAATTAAAAAAAAAAGTGTTTTAGTTCTTTTAAGTACAGGTCTGAATAAAGCTCTTCCAGTTATCAGAGTCATAAGGTCCCCATAACTATACACATGGATAAACTAATCTTATATTGTGTTCATTCTGTTTAAGTCTTGGAATGTGTGTTTACCATTACAGGGGAGAGTGTAGTAAATGACTGTTTTATAATGTATTTATTTTTTTCATTTTCAGAGGATCACTCAAACACGCCAGGAAAGGGCTCCAGTAAACAGATTTTACAAGGTGAGCTGGCCTCTGTTCACAATGTCTGCTGCACTGTGGACTTGTGCTTTCTCCCAGCATGTTGGTGGGAACTGATCCAATTGTTCAGATTGAAAATTGGTTCCGTATCATACAGTAACTGCATCCCATTACTGAGACAAGAACAGATAATTTTTTTAAATAACTGCAGAGTATTATTTAAATATTTAACAACACCAGAAAAAACTGTTTGCATCCTAGTCTTACTGAACACATGAAAACCTTTAAAGCCTACTCTCAGTGCTTCTATCATGCATATTGTTCTTATTAATTGTATAGAGATATTAGTATTTATTTGTACACTTCTGTTAATTTTATTAAATATCTCCTGAAATCAAGAACAGATAACAGAAATGCATGAGCAAAGGAAGATTTGGCTATTATGAGATTGTATCTGTTGAAGCATAGATTGGGATGTCAGGGGTGTAAGGTGCTAAAACAGAAGTGATAGACAGCTGCTTACTCACTTCAGTCAGAGCACCTACAAGATGAAAAGCCTGTATAGATCTGGACATTTCACGATCGAGTGAGGCAAACAAAGGTTAGAGAACCATTAGGGAGCTGTGATCTTGATATGGTGAGGCTTTGAAGTGTGTTTTAAAACTTTAAAAGTCTAAAAGATTTAAAAGTGGGGTTGGCAAACTACAGCAACATTATTGGGATGCAAAGGAATATTTAATGGCGTGTACAATAAAAGTAACAAGCCACAAAGTTAAAAAACAATAAAAATTTTGCTTCACTGTTCTGTAATTCTCTCCAACATGCTTCCTAGTGCTTCCTGTTTCTCATTTGTTCCTGAATTTGTCTGGATCGCAGCATGATGTCTAGCTTTTGAGGATCTTTTGGTCTACTTCACTTTGTCAGGCAGGTCCTATTTAAGTGATTTCTGGATTGAGAACAGGTGTGGCAGTAATCAGGTCTGGGTGTGGCTAGAGAAATTGAACTCCCTTAATAATAAAAAACTTCATTTAAAAACTGAGTTTTGTGTTAACTTGTGTTATCTTTGTCTAATATTTCAATTTGTTTGATGATCTGAAACATTTCAGTGTGACAAACATGCAAAAAAATAAGAAATCAGGAAGGGGGCAAAAACTTTTTCACACCACTGTATAACAGGCTTTTCTTATTTGTTCTGATGTTTGTTTAATAGTTTGCCAAACCAAAACAGTCATCTCTAGAATTAAGGATTTACCTGCTTTGTCACGCTTTGTGAACTATCTTGATACAGTCAAGTTTTTGTGGTCAGAAAAAGGTCAAAACTACCCTGAACTGCACAATAAAAAAAATGGGTTCCAAAACTGGCCAACATCACCATGCATATAATTGAACTCAGCCTCCATCTGCAGGGTACAGATCAAATGTCATGGGTCTTCTCAACACATGGAGGACAGTTCTTGCAAAACCTAGCATTTTTTCCCAGGTCATTGATACTTCAACATTCTGCTATTTTCCAAATTCAAAGAACTTTCAGAACATCGCTAGTCCATGTTGCTGAATTTGGAGTATAAATTTGGGAACAAATAATAGATTTATTCCATGCTGAAAAGAGAAGAAAGGAATAAACCTATTACTTATTCCTTTGCAGCCTGCGCATGCTGCCGCAGATTCCCGCCTGAACAAAATTTGAGAACTGCCATCAGAATTGTCTTTCAGAATTTTTTTGGCCTAATGTTTCGTTTCCTGATTAAACCAGACAGCTTTGATACCAGTGACATGGATTTTTCGGCATTTCGGGGATGGGTGCTGAGGTATTTCTACACATGAAGGCAGTTCTTTGTCTCTCCTGTAGCCAGTTAACAACTGGAAAATCAGGTTATTGTGCATCTTAAAGTGACAAGCCTGAGATTGGAGAACTCCGTAAGGGCAATGATCACACTAAATAGTAAGACATGCATAGTAATTTATTCATTTTAGATACGTTTAATATTAAATTTAAAGTAGTAATGTCTTTGTATGCTCCTTCGGAAAGGTTGCTGACCCCAGTGTACAATTTCAGGAAAGCAGACTTTGAAGCAATGAGATAGATCTTCAAAGAAGTAGAATGAGAGAAGACATAAACACAAAGCATAAATGATAGTCTGCTTGAAGTACATCTGTTTATTCCAAGAGTAAATAGATTAATGTCTAGAAAGCAGTAGGCTAAGTGTTTTTACAGACCAGTAAATTAAGGAGAACTAAAGCACTACATTAAATAATTAAGAACAGTATCCAGTTAAAGAAAGAGTGTAATAAATTGCAATAACAGGTAAAAGCAATCTTATGCCAAGAGAGAAAATTTTATTTTAGTCAAAATAAGGTTTTTCAGTAGTGCAACAGCAAAAAGACACTGGGAATTCAGTGGCCACTGTGATCACGGGTTTGAGCCTGTTTCATATCATTAGCTAACTGTGACGGGGATTCGTGAAGTGGCTGAGTGTAATGAGCTGAGTACTGCTGAGGGGATGGTGGGATTCGTTATAAGACAAGTAGTTCAAAGGTGGGCAGGTCTGGAGAGCCTGTCTACACTTGCTCATTCTCCAGTGTGTGGCTGAGAGCTGAGATGTGAAAAAAACAGTTTATGATTTCAAATCAAGCAGGTATAACATAAAAAGTCTAAATTAAAAGTAAAGAATGAAGTATGGAGTATTTGAGATAAAAAATGAAGACTTAGAATGAAAGGGGAAGGGCTAATAAATATTTAACTGAGGCGTTAAGGAAGACAATTAAGGAAGAAATGCCAGCAGCCATATCACCCCGCAACTCACATCTGACACCTGTCATGACCTCTTAGCAATCCTCATCTATAAAGTGGCTTCATCAATCTGTTCTTCTCCCCACTGATAGCTGATGTGTGGTGAGCGTACTGTGTGCACTACAGCTGCCGTCGCATCATCCAGGTGGATGCTGCACATTGGTGGTGGTGGTGGGGAATTCCCATTACCTGTAAAGGTAATTTACCTGTAAAGCACTTTTACACAGTTGAGTGTAAAAGCGCTGTATAAATGTAAGGAATTATTATTAACTGACAACGTTCTTCATACGGACCACAGTTCTATATTAAATACTATTGGCATCATAGAATCAGAAAATAGAAACACTTAAATCTTAAAACATAAATAAGATGTTATTAACAGTCAGTCAAAACAGCAGTAATATGCTGATTGCAAAATTGCTAATGAAGCAGCAATCCATAAAAAAGGCATTAAGGGGTAGACATGACAGAGTCACTGGGAAATTCTGACTACATTATGGTGTCTATTAGACTTTAGTCTACAGTTAAGGAAGGAGTGAAGACACATTAAAGTTTCCATTCACACCATAATTAAAAATATTCAATTTAAACTCTGCACTTAATTTCTAATTCAACCAAAGGGAATAATATTAGAAGGGGGATGAATACTTTTTGCAAGAAATTCTACATGTTGCATGGGTGATTTCCAGCTGCAGGAAGCTACAAAACGAACAACAAAAAACACAAAGAAATCTCTGTGTTTATGTTGATTCTTCCTTGTCTCCTGCAAGACAATGTGAGGAAGCAATAAAACAAGCAAAGTAAATGTTTTGGAAAAGACCAAAACTTGGGGGATTTAAATCAGGAATGTTATGCACAAGCTTTACAATATACTCTACAGACCTTATTTAGAACATTGTGCTCAGTTTTGATCACCAGACCACAAAAGAGTTGGTTTTAGTTTTTGGCTTTAAAGAACAGTAAAAAGAATGATTCCTGTTTTGTGCTGTATCATGTATTTGTCATATACAGACAGGTTAAAGTAACAATCTCTGTGGACAAGAGTGAACACCAAGGCACTGCTTCCTTGTCTCCTCTGGCTTGTGCCTCACTGTTAATTCTGACGTCCACTGGGTTGACATTTCAGTGCCCTTTAGGATTTTGGATACTTGAATCAGACCAGTAGTCTTTTTCTGTTCAGGATGTAAAATATTTAGTTTTTTTTTCTTAATTTCAGTGTAGGCCTAAAATGTTGTTGCTTTTCTCTGGCCTGATTCCAGAGCAGCAATATCTTTTTTGTAACCTAGTTAGCAAAATATTATAAATGAGGTCTGTCTTCTGCATTGACTAGTTTTAAGACAACATCACTTTATTCAAATTCTATTCTTATATCTGTATATCCAAACATTCAATTTGCTAGAGTGGAAACTGGGATGACATATAGATTATCTTAAAGCTGTAGCTAAAGTTCTTGAGGTCACTGGTGTTGGGAAAATTCTGTGATTCTGCCCATGAAAACCTGTTACTGAGGATTTTACTGCAGTGCTTAATCTCCTTAATACCTTTACTGAATGATCAAGGTGACTCGCTGAAGATTCACTCAAGTTTCTGAATCATTTTAAAGATAGTGGAGTAAATGAACAGCATGTATTTTTAAAAATTGTAAGTTATGAATGAATCTGAATTTTGGGTGTACGGTCATTACGAACAGTTATGTTGTTGATATGTTTGGTATTCCTTTCTCTTTTCATGCACCTATATTTTGCTAAGTCAGAGTTAGAGGAAATTCATTTTGATGTCATTTTTATGTTTTCACTCATCAGACAAAAAATGAAAAGAGTCTCTTTACATTAACTGCCAAATGTTAAAAGTTTAACCTTTTTTAAAAAATAAGCCTTGAAAAAAGGACTCAATTTCCCACTATGGTGATTTTGTGAAATGCACTTAAAGACAGATTTATACTTAACCAGAAAAGAAGAGGCCCATCAGTTCACCAACAGGGAAAGGTCCAGCAGTAATGGCCACGAAAGTGCCGACGTGTGTGGCATGATGAAAAAGATTGGGAGATCAAATTGGTACCTGTTTTTTGTTCATGGGGTGATGCAGTCTGTTTCAAGCAACAGCAACAAGAAATCTGAAATAAAATTACACTGCTGCTAGAGAAAGACGTTTTATGTTTCAAAAGTGTGACTGTAACTGTCCCTGAAGAGGTGTGCTAGGAGTCTTCTGCCTCTGCTAGTTAGAATCAGTTTGATGTAGTTTTCTTGCACAGGTGTGTAGTGTGTTGGATGTACACACAGGCTGCAGTACCCGTTTGTGCCCAACAGAGTGTGCCATTGACTAATTGACAATCAGCAGGGATGATCTTATCGGGAAGAGCTTTATGATGAGTTTTATGGTTATTCGTTTTACTGTTTCACTGTTGCTGGTCTTTTAGGAGCACTTTAAATTCTCATCCCTCTCTTGAGCCCTTGGGTTCTCAGGTTTTTTTTTGTATCGAGAGCTACAGATACTGCAATTTACACATGCAGTTTAACATGTCCTAAGAAATCTAGTATTTTTAAAAATGTGAGATCAAATCAGAATAAAAGCAACAAGGGGTATGTAAACTGAGACTTGCAATAATTACAGATGCACGCTTTTTACGAGGTACCAGCTATTACTTTACTTGTTCCAGAATACCAAACATAAATCTCCACAACTTCAGAAATGTCTTCCATTCTGAACTAAAAGTTAAAGCATGTGGTTGGGTTTTAACATCTGTATAGGTACCAGGCTTTCACCAAAACTAAATTTTCTCTATACTATTTTATTCCTAAAACAACTGCTTTATTGATGTTCAAATGGCATCTATAGATATTGACTTATATAGCTAAGATGAGCCTGCTGTTCACAAATCCTGAAATGGCTGTAACTGAAATATAGTGGAAAAGCAGTGGTAAGCCTGTACTTATTGGCTTTGATACCTGACATGCATGCATGGCCTTAAATGAGTCTATGGATCACACGCTAACATGATGGCCAAGATGCACCTCAGTCACATGGAATTTCTCTTGCAAACAGACTGAATGGTGAGCAGAGTATGGGACACCACTCACTGCTACTGTGTGACTTAATGCTGCAGGACAGTGTTGTGCTGTGCAGGACACTGCAACTTTAAATGTGTTGTGCCCTGGTGTTGTGGTTGACGCTTGTGAGAAAGTGAGTGAGGAAGGAATGCAGATTGCCCTTCACCCTGGCAGAAAGGGGTCTCTCCAGGAGGCCCCCTGAAGGGAAACTGGTCTTTGCTTGCCATGGGGGAGGGCGGTTTACAGCCCTTATGCTGGTTTCAGCAGTGCCCGTTCCCGTTAGTGCTTCAGGGCACTTTACCCTAACAACCTGCCATTAAATCAGCGCGGGGGCTGTTACAGCTCCTGAGCCTCTTTGATTTCCCTCCTGGCTGGTAGGCTTATTTTCTCCTTTTTACAAGAGCAGCAGGCTATTGAAAAGGGCCTCCAAGCCTCTTCTACATTCCAGCACTTCTTTCAAAATCCCATCCGCACAGAAACTCGTTTGTGCGATTCAACAATAACTTGCCGAGCCAAAGTGCAAGCAAGGTCTGGTGCGATGAAAAGATGACATTGGATGGAATTCAGTATGTTTTGTAACCAAATTCTGAGAAGAATTTAATTGAAATGTATTAACTTTATCCAAAAAAACCTTACATAAGATCTTTTAATTATTTAATGATGAACAGCTACTTGTGAGCTTGAAGTTAGTCAAAATTGATAAAGGGAAAGATTAGAGATAAGATGAGAGAGCTGAAACCCAAAACATCAGGGTGCAGTTCAGTAGAGAGTGAGTTGTCTAGTTTGGTTTCTTACTGCATAAAAAGAATAACTGTTGATGAATGCAACATTTAAGGAAGATAATTGTTGTCTAATGTGTCTAAATTTGGGGTTTATAATTTTATTTAAAAAAGACTACAAATAAAGGAGGCAATTTACAAGCAGTGCACTGGGAACAGATGGAAACAGAAACAAGAGGAGAATGATAGTCATACATTAAACAAAATGTTAAGACATCAAAATTATTTTAGGTCTAAAACAATTAAGCAAAATTAAAAACGCCTTAAAAGTGCTAAAAATAAAAGTATACAGAGCTACAGAAACAGCTGAAAAAAGAGGGAGACTGGAAAGAATATTGCAATATGGACAAAACATAGTATCAAAGTATCAGAACAGAGTTGAAGACTCAAAATTCATCCGTAAAATAAAGATTCAAGTTTAAGAAAATGTGCCTTGATGGAGAAATTAAGAAAAAATGTAGAAAAGTGTGTTGGTGTGAAAAGGCTCAGGATAAGACTATACTGAGCTTCGGGCTGGTCTAAAAAAGGCTATTAGACTCTCCAAGAAAGAAGTGCGTGTTTTGTGGCTATGGGTGCTAAGTGGCTTCCCATGTCCATCAGGAGACGGAGGATCTTAGCCCGTGGGGGCGATGCAGTGGGTTCAGGCTGGGGACGCTCGAGTTGGGCCCATTGTGTAAATGGCTGTGGCTGACTCAGCACATCGCCCTTCTGGAACATGGAGGTCTATCACATGAGGAATGATACAGGCAAGGCCCTAAGAGAAACTCCCCCATCTGTTAAAATTCAAGATGTAAAACCATCAGTCATCTCAGTCACTTAGCACAAACTGCCTGATGTGTAGATTAATTTTCACCTACTCTAGATGCCCTCTAGTTCACAATCTTTGAAATGGTGTGTGATGCTGTAGGCTGAAAAGGCTGCTTCGTGTTGAGCCAGTGCTCTTAAATGCTCCTGGATTCACGCATCCTGCCTGCTCCCTGGTGTGGAGAGAAGGCTGTGGGGACAACACTGCAGCTCTCTGACCTGCCTGCTCAAAATGGCACTAACCATCAACACCCTGCTGTGCTCCCAGGCTTGGCAGTGCTTAAGGCTTTTGTCCAGTTAGGTAATTGAGGCCTTTGTGGAAACTTGGCACTGGCTGTGAAGAAGGAGAAACACCCTTTGGTGCGAAGTTCTATAAGTTGGTTGTGTCTTAGAGGGTGTGCAGAAAAAAAAATACAGATCTGAGTTTGTTATTCTTCTGCCATTTTTATAAATGTTTAATTTTTGTATTTACTTTATCCTTTCAGGAGTCTTTCTGCACATCGTAGCAGACACCCTAGGAAGTATTGGAGTCATCATTTCAGCTATATTAATGCAGAAATATGACCTCATGATAGCTGACCCTATCTGTTCCATGTTGATCGCCATTCTCATAGGAGTGAGGTGAGTTTTTCAACATCCTGGGATCTGATATAACAAAGAAAGGAAACGGGTAAATTCCATGAGCACTGTTGTGCTGAAGTGTCTAGCCAAAAACATTGTAGAAAAACTGTAACTTTTACTTTCCAGAACACAAGTGGGTGATTATTACTAAAGGAACAATTAAATTAAGTCCATGAAAATTAGATTAAATAAAATTGTGTAATCTGCTGTTACAATTTCATTAATTTACTTGAAATTATAGGTGATTATTAAGCAGCTGTCTCTGCAAAAACTATCTTGAAAGATAGTCATGGCAGAAGGAACATTGTAGACTCTCAAAGAATGCACACATGGAAATTAACGAAAGGTGTTTCTTCTGTTTGAAGAAAGAGTAGCAGGGAACAACACTGGTGTTGCACACAACTCTGAAGTGTAACACTAAAGTAAGTTCTTGCTGCAAATTGATCTTCCCTTCAGAATTATCTGTTATAACTGCGTTAAAAGAGTTTGCAGCATTCGATAGCACTATTTTTCACTTCTAAGAATTTTTTTGTTTGGGTTGTAATTGATGCTGCTCATGTTCAGCCAGGCAGCTCTAGGTTAACATCTCCCAGGCTCCTTCATTGCAGACGTCCTCTCCCTGCCTGGCCAGAACAGTGTCCTACTGCTGTGAATTCAGACCAAAGATTGCTTAATGTTTAAATAGAAGACATGAAGTTTTTGGGAATGTTTAACATCAATTTGATGTGTTTTCCTGATCTTATGATTGTTGTAATTACTTTGAATAGCAGATTATAAAATACAGAGTATGGGCCATGATGACTGGCTTTCTGGATAGAGAGAGTTCATCTGTGAGCAGTTGGTTCATCTCCTTAAGTCTATGGGCCCAGCTTTTGAAAAAATATGGCTTCATGGAGAAATACTGAAAAAATCAGGAAAAGGGTGCTTTACAGACATGTTAAAGGGCTCAGGATAGAGTATATATTGATCTACAGGCACAACTGAGGAAAGTTATTTGAGAGGAGGAATAGAATCTTTCAATGGAGGTAAAATCATGTTTTTTCCCCATACTTCAACTGTAAGAGGAAGAGTAGTTTACAAGATAGTGGAAGCTTAGCAGAATTTGTTGAATTTTAAGCAAAGTTGCAGGTAATACCAGATGTGGCAGGTACCGAAGAGCTACCATATGCACACAGACAGAAGATGAAACACATATTATGGATCTGTTTTGTCTATGTTGGATTCCTGGCTAAGCTTGAGTGTCTTTGCAAATCGTGTGTTCAAGTTATTAGACTGGGACCTGTTTTAACAGAGTGTTCCAGCAACAAAGACTTGTTCCTTGAAGCAAAAAGCCTTACTTCCACATCTTTAAACACCCTGGCAGTGCCTTGTTTCTTGCACAGCGTTTATGATTTCTACAGATACATGTTTCATGTGATAGCATATCTGGGGGGTATCTGTGATGCACAAGTGTCATGTTCTGACCTGCCTCATGCCACGTGCCTCCAGGATGGACTCTTGTGTTCTGTGACCATCTGCAGTATAAACAGTGTTCTGGTTATGGATGGATGCAATATAAAATTTAAACCAGTCAGTGATGTTATAAATAAAAATAGTCTTCAAAAGCTGCATTGTTTCGAAACAGTTCCCCACCCACCATACCAGCTCTGTATTAAAAAATGCCTTTAGAACAGGAAAGATGTGATTTAGCCTTTACCCTTCCCTGACAGGGAGCTGTTCTAAAAATATACAGCTGTCAAGTCACCCAGTCAGCCTTTTTTCCAATAGTTTAAGTTGTTGATTCTGCAAGCAGAGCAACTGTACTGTACATGCAGGATGGTGGAGGTTGAAGCCCCTTGCTACCTCATGTAACAGTCTGCAGGTACAGCCTGTGTTTTTCAGGATTCAGTAGCTTGGGTTGTATTATATGGTGAATGATGAGATGCATGCTATGACTGATGCCATTATTGACCACACAAGTCTTGAGAGAAAAACATTGACATAATTTGGAGGTGTGACATATAACAGGGACACATTGTTAACCATTTCACAAAAAACAGCATATGCTCTTGAGTGTTGAGAACAGGACATGGGAGATGGAGAAAGATCAATCCAAAGACTGCCCCTAGAACTGCAACGCAAGGGACATGGAAATTGACAGACATGTTTGGCTTAGTGAGGTGATTCATAGCTATAACTGTTTCACAAAGTTTCATGATAATAGTTTGATTTCAGATGCATGACAAATCAAAGCTGTTGAATTAATAGGGTGTCCTGTTAAGCGTATATGAGCCAAGCTTAGTTTAGGAAAAAGGTATCCAACAAAATTATGCATTTTTGCCCTTGCCCTGTAGTTTGACTGATCCTATGTAAACTGAAAAAAGCAACGACCCTGTTACTGTGTTTGATCTGGGCCATAATGCCATCCTGACAGCAGTTCCCTGAGCAGCAAGCTCATTCCTGTGACAAGATTGCAAGTAATTATAATTATTTATATAGTGCCATTCAAACTGAAGGAATTCCAAGGCTCTTTTTGGATGAATCCTACTTCACCTACCACTGAAGTATATTCCCACCTGGGTTACACACAGCTGCTATTCTGCATCAGCAGCCACACTACACAGACGTTCAGGTGGGGAAATGAGAAATTACATCACCACTTAATTTAAGAGGAGCTTTCCAGAGGCCGGATTGCACAAGTCCAGAGTGGAATGTAGCCAGGATACCAAGGATAACACCCCTACTTTTACAAACTCTCATGGGATCTGTAGTGAGCACATTCACTATAGGACACCTACAGCACAGTGTACCCAGTCACCAGATTTATCAAAAGCCATAAGTCACTGCAAGGTCTTTAACATGTGTTAAACATTGGAAGCCACTCTCTTTCGCCTTGCAATGCGTCTCAAGTTTCGGAACAGTTCTTTTGCTTATGAATGAACCAAAAACTGTTTTTTTTTTATCTGACCAAGAAGACTAAGCTTTTGTTCTCAATTATTTTATTCTTTGTCTAAATTCAAAGTATCACCATTCCAGAGCCTCTGTGGCATCATTGTCAGGATAAAAAGACATGAGAGAGACTTGTTTCAGTAATAAATCTGAGAAACTGCTTATGATTGTTGGGAGTTGTGCAAATGCATTAGAGTTCTCCAACATGTGCCAGCCATTCTCTATATTATTATGGTGTTAAAAAGCTTAAATGAGAAAATAAACTTTTATGTTTTAGCTCAAGTTAATCATGTATGCATTTTACACAATTACATTGTCTTACAGTATATTTTTTGTAAGGGTTGATGCCTCTGGAACCTACAAAGGGTTGTTAGAATTTGGAGGAAACTGCTCGGTTGTGTTATGATAGCTGATACCTTGGCTTCCTTCAGGAAACATCCGAGAGGTCCTCAATTCAATTAGCTACTAGCAACCAAAGAAGCCGAAGTTCCTCAATCTAATCTGGGGCAGTAGCATGGAGTAGTGGTCAGGGTTCTGCATTGCAGCTGTTGTACCCTTGAGCAGGATAATTAATTCAAACTGTTTAGTACTGTTTAGTTAATCATTGTAAATGAAAATTCATTCTCAATTGATTTAACTAGTTCAAGAAAGGATGAATTTTTCATATATTCCAAAAAAGATCCATGCATCCAGGAAGCTAGATAGGTAATTTGGTTTTGGTTTTGACTGAAAATTTGGGTTCGGTGGCAGGCATCTTCAGTTGTCAGGAATGTTTTAGGCGCAGAAGCAGTGAGAGAACTCGGGGAATAAGAAACATTTTCCTCTGGTTTAAGAATGTGAATCTACAGTAAGACTGTACAGTATTTGATGTCCAGTTTGCGAAGGCGTGACACCTGATGGAAGGTGGCAGCTGGAATTTTCTTACAAAGCCGTGTTGGGATACAACCCCCAGGGGTGTACAAACACCAGATTCACATCTTCATGGATTTGTCTTGTGTTCTTTGTGTTCTGAATCATTTATGTCTTAAGTGTTGGCTTTTTTTTCTACATTTTGCATTCTGTGCAAGGAGTGTGTTGCAGCCTGAAATATCTAGCCATTTTTTATAGTGGGCTTTCCATCAGGAGTTGGGTGTGTTATTGTAGTAAAAGAGCAACATTTGTTACTGATTTGTTTTAATCTTTTCTGTTGTTGTTATGGCCCTTCTTGTGTTTGGGTCACAAGAAGTTATAGGTAAAAAAAGCTGCTTTGACTTTAATATTTGTAAGCTGCAACAATAATTGTAACAATAAAAGTACAAATAAAGTTGCAACAGTTTTACTTAATATTTATCTTGAAAATTAGAGGAAAACCATTTGTTTTTTACTTTTTTGTCTTCTGATGAGAGACAATTCCCCCTTTTTCCTTCCTTGTCATTTGAGACCATTTTTGTTTCATGTTGCCACTTGGTTTCACGCACAAGCTGAGGTTAATTTACCAGTCTGTTGCAAGCAGGTATGATGAACCTATTTGTTAACTCTAGACTGAGAAAGATGGTGAAGCAACTCAATATAGCTGTCTGTATCACTGCCAGAGTTAAAGCGAGCAGGTTTCTAGTAGTGAGGTGAGGGTAAGAAGAATGGCATATTTGAGCTGGGAGTGTATAGCAAGAGATTCGAAAAAAGATTGCATCCGATTCTAATGGCAATGCACTTCCTTCATTGAATACTTGCTGAAGCTAGTCAGTTAAAACTAGTTAATCGGCTAAGATCCCGTGATCAATGCTAAATCAGGGATCTGGTTTTCATACAAAAATGTCTTTTGCAAAACTTTTCGATCATCTCAACACACCACTTCTGGGATTGTACTTTGTTCTTTAGGATTTGACAATAAAAAAATAGATGTAAATCCTTTGCCGTTATGTTTACTTGGCAAGGGTTTGTTTACACAGGGAGGTCCCTTGCCTAGGCTGTGGTAAATTACTGAGTGATGGAACTTTTATCTCAATGTGCACTCTGAGCTATGACCTATTTAAGGTCAGAGCCCAGAGGATATTAATAAGATACCCTATTTCTGTTTATTTTAATTACCAATG